CCCCCCCCCCCCCCCTCCCCCCTCTATGCATCGTTTGGCATCGTTAGCGACTCTCTCTGCCACCAAACATCCACCCATATGTTTATTCGCTCCGCGTCTGGAACGTTATCCATGTTCTGGTTTGGTCGGCGTATATAAGTCAACCACGCTGCTTGCACTCAACCAATCCAACCATGAAGCGTGTGTAGGATCTGGGCCGTTCCGAGGAGGAACGTTTTTGTGGTTTTTTGGTGGCAACGAAAGTGATTCCTGGAGAAGCAGGAAGTGAAAACTTCTGATAGACAGGTGTCGTCCCCCGTTTTCTATCAGGTCAGTGTACAGCAGTTTAACTGGCCGGTTCAGGGTATATCATACGCCGGGCGTTTTGTGACACGGCAGGATGAAAGTGGGCGCCGTAACGTCAAGCCAAATTGAAGAATGCATGTACTTGCAACCCGCGTTGCAGGGTCTGAATGTGTTGTGTAGGTGGCCGACAGGTTTTCAAGTTCCTCAAAATCCTCCTACAACATCCAAAGTCAAGTCGAACAGCAGCTATATGCAGTGCCGTTTGCACGTTCTACACTACGCATCCTAAACAATCTCTGCTGTGAAGAACCAAGGCGTTCGGAGCATGAGCACCCTGAGAATCGCAGAGGTCGAAGAGAGGCGTGCGACTTGCTTTGAGTGAGCAAATACTATAATACTGTGGTTTACTTGCTCCGGTGTCGATGTGTAGTGGGCACGTCCTCCGTATCTAGTAGCTGTTGTGTTACGGGAAAATAAATACACACACAGGAAGACTGCCCATTCGAGATATACCCACAGTCGAACGGGATGTGGTGGAGTCTTGTCAGAGAGTGGAGGAAAACCGGCTGGGTTTTGGACTTATTTCGAGTCTTTATAAGTCAATCCACCGATTTGAAAGGTATCTGTAGAGCTTGTGAGGATGGCCGTTCGTTTCGTTCTTTGTTTCGCCTCGAACAGCAGTGGCGATCGATCGCCCCGTCACCCCCGTTGGTGGGTGAGACGTATATGTAATTCAACTGTCATTATTACACGTGCTGTAGGTCAGATCACAGAACGATTCGACCAAAAAGCTGCAACCAAAGGCTATGCGTACATCCTGCCCCACAAGTTCCCAGAGGAAAAAGTGTTCACAGAACGACAGCAAATATTCGAATTTACATCGATGGAATGTGGTACAGCGGTGTGCAACATAACTGACCTTCACAGCACGAGACAGAGCTGGGGGCGGGGAAACATTCCAACAACTGCTGTGTAGGAGGGTCTTCGGTGGGGCGCTGGGAGCGATGTTCAAGATGTCTATGCGTAGAACCGAAGCGATTTCAAGCGCAGATGGAGGTAGAGGTGACAGCACCGCAGGCGTGCACCTCGGCCGTACCCGTTATGCGATACCTCGCAAGTGGAGCGCGTGCTATCCATATCCACTAGCTGTTATAGTAACCGCGAAGGCAACCGTCTACATATGCATGTACATACAGCCGCTGGCTTGAGGTTGCAGCTGTTGGTACGGCAGCAGCAGCCGCGGTTGTGGGCAAGAAACGGCGAGACTCGAATCGCCGCTCGGGGGGAGCACCGGAATTGCCATACGAGTGGTGCGTGGGAGCGTGCTGTATAGCCGAGCGAGGACACCGTGTGGTCGTTCGACTTACCATTACCCGCTCTCTCCCTGCTCCAGCCTTTCCGCGCCAACACCCAGACTAAAGAGGCGCCAGGACGGTGCGCTACACATGCATACACACACCGAGGGACCACGGGCAACCGTGTTACCGTCGACTTTCCCCAATGCGTCCTTTGTACACTGCTAGTCACAGCTGGCTCCGCTAGGTGGTGTTCTCTCTCCTACTTAAAACAACGGACGACACCCTCACCATCGTAGAACAACGGAAAAGCGCGTTGGTTCATCTACAGGAACGGACCCAAAAAAAGTGGGAACGGCTGCTGCTGTATCTACTAAGCATTTCAAGCAACCGGGAGCAGCCACAGCAGCAGCACCGCGAGTTCTCACCTCTCTCGGTCTCGGACTCGATATCCCCTGGAACAAGTACCCTCAATTGGCAAGTCGAGGCTGCTCTCACTTCCTGTGCTGGCTGGGAGGTGTGTGCGCAGCTGCTGTTGTCGCAAAACGATGAAGTTCATCATTTTTTTTCGTTTTTTTTTTATTGTTCTGCTGTCGTGCCTTCGCCGCTTGCCTAGGAATTTTTTTTTCTTATTATGACACAACGAGTCCATCTCTATCATAGAAAAGAGTCATAGACAGATTAACAATTTAACAATGGAATCATAACGTCAGGAATTCGTCAGGAATTTTTCGAGTTTTTGTTGATTGGTCGGGACGGCCTCTAGTACAACAGTCCCTCCCGTGTATCACAAAAACTCTTGATTTGGATCCAGCTCCGCCACGCTACTATTTGTACATGTACACCCGTGTACTTCGAAGTACACAGCAGTGCAGTACGCCTGTGTGAGAATATCACAGCGCACTCACTGACAACCTACATATGTAGTTACCCTATGAGCCTACTGTTTATGCCTTCACGATTTGGACGGCAAACCCTCCGAAGTGATTTCCTTGTCTGGCCCACAGCCGCTGTGTGCAACACGTATGCCTCTGAGCGAACCCGAGGTCGATCACGCTAGATTTTTACTGCCTACATGTTCGAGCGTCATCCATTCCATGCATGGTTTCTCGCCTAACACGATATCTGTCGTGAGCTACTGCGGTAGCATTATAGTGTTGCTGCAACCGCACATACGTTTCGACAGTAGAATAGTGCACGGACAAGAGGTGAACCAGCATGCTGCCTGCCTTGCATGCTGCTCTCCAGAAGAAGACGAACGACCTTCCTCGGTGGTACATAGTTAGCAACGTAGACGCGTAGACTACAAACTGGATTGCATAGCTGTTGCTCGCATGAAACTCATGCACTGCGAACACCTTCGCTGGTATTCGGTTCGTTTGACCCCGTAGCGCAGACGTGCCATGCAGGTGATGCGCTACAGCAGTGGCAGACAGCGCGGTTTAGGCTGCTCGACGGACTGTCTGCACGGTGGTGCATAGTCTACAGAAGTAGCCAGCAGTCTCGTGCAGTAGACTAGTATATTTTTTCTGCCAAGTGTATGGGCCTACCATGTTATAGATATGTTTCTCTATACCATCTTTGACGTCAGTCACGGGTAACAACTCCGTTCGTGGAAACGGTGATATTGGCCCACCTGTAATTGCCAGCAGCCATCTCTCTTCACGTCCCTATTCCGCCTTCGTTCTCTATTGAACTACATGTACTTTGAGTCATAAACCGTCGTTCTAGTGGCCCCGTGTCGGTTTCACGATGCCATGAGTGAACCAAAAACCTATTCTTTCTACCTAATAATACCCTCTACATCTACCACCGGACCCCAATTCGCAAGGAATTCACTCGATCATGTGTCTGTCATGTTGTGCATACGTCTCAACTTCTAGCACATACAAAAAAAAAATAGTGATTCATGTTCTGTCTTCTCTGTTGCTTCCAGCACGCCCAACCATGAATCTGAAACTGATACACGTTCCGTGATGTGATACGAAGACAAAACTATACAGCAGGGAGCCTCGATACAACAGAGAGAATCGTCCCGCACCAGTCATCGCACTTCGACCGACGAAGGTCCTCACTCTTCCGGCCTGTGTCAGTCGCGCCAACGACGGACTCGCTATGACACCAAAAAATCTATTTACTGCCTCCCTTTCTAGCCCCTTCCGTCGAGGTCACCACAAGTGGTGTGCTCCATCTCGAAATACGTCAGACAGTACTGACCTCTACATACATACATCTTCCTCTCTAAACAAGCGAACCCACGCTTCAAGCACCCATCGCTGTCCCCCGCCCGACACCTATGATGCTAAAATTGGAATCACACCGCCGGGTTTCCCTCGATGCTACAGGTTGTCTCTAGATTATAGCTACTCTCCGACGCAGGCTTGCAACGACAACATGAGCAGTCTCCCGAGCTTCAACCGCGGTCCCGCCAGAATCCACCTCTCGCAAGTATTCCAACAACGACTAACCCCGCAGACATCAGCCGTCCCCCGCTTGCCGGCGGCGCACCACACCTGTCAAGCGAAACAACATCAACTCGATCGACCAATAACCACATTGATCGAATGCTTTCTGGCCGACCCTATTCTCAAAGAAGCATGCCTCCGCCCATGACGACGGCGACGGCGAGAGCGCCGGCGGCGTATACGGCTCCGAGGGTAGGCACAGCGGCGGCGAATCCGCCGTCCGTCTCGTTGGCCCCGATCGGCGCCGAGGTGGCGCCAATGTCACCGATGCCGCCGGCGCCGCCGTCGTCACCTCCGCCGTCGGAGACGGACGACGCAATCGTGTCCCCCGGGGCGGCGTCGCGGGAAAGGGTGGCACCGCCGCCAGCGCCGGTCCCGGCCTCACCATCGTCGGCCATGGTAGGGGCGAGGGTAGCGCCGGGGGTGGCTCCGGGAGAGAGGGTGGCAACGCCGACGCCGCGGTCTCCATCGGCGGAGGCGGTCGGGGCAAGGGTGGCACCAGGGGCGGCACCGGGGGAGTGCGTGGCACCACCGCCGGTGCCAGTTCCGGTCCCACCATCCCCGGCTACGGTAGGGGCTAGGGTAGCACCAACGGCAGCACCGGGGGAGAGCGTAGCGCCACCAAACCCAGCCTCAGCGGGAGACGGGGTTCCTCCTACGACTTCATCCGTCGATTCCACCACGCCGTCCCCTATTGTAGATGGAAGGCGTTGAGGGCGGGAGACGGGCACCCTGTCGGAGCTACAAAAGCATGGCTGGCTAGAGAGTGACAACAAATCGGACTCTGTGCGTGCTCGCGTTCCAACGCTACGCTATTTTCGGTAGCTCCTTCAGCCTCTGCGTGACAACGCAATTCGTCGGAGGCTTTTGAGCACGAGAAGTTGGCGAACTACAATACTACTGTGGCGCGGTCACAAACTTCAACAGGTGAAGGTGACATTGACAGCAGCAAGAACGACGTCTACTCTGTGACATGGCGGCGTTGCCCAGGCCTTCCCCCGGGTACTCACAAACTTCCTGGGAGAACCAGCCGACGTCCCTACTAACAAAATGTACGCTTTGCGGCTTGCCAGCCACTGGAGATTCGCTTTTCGTCTTCGACGTCGGTTGACAATCGGCCAATATGGTAGCCTTGAGTCACGGACGACTCAACCACAGCAAGAAGGCTGGGGAGACTTACCAGTGGTGTCTCCGGCGAGGCCCGTGTCCAGGTCGTCAACCACCAGGGCAAGGGTAAGGCAGGTAGAGCGGATTACTCCAACGAACGCTTGCAAAAGACAGGATAGTCAGGTCCCTGCCCAAGTCATGGATTGCGCCCTGTTCTCGACTCATTCGTACACCTATCCGCAGACTTGCAAGAGTTCAATAACGCATTCTTTTCTTGCAATATATCGCTTCGCCAAGAACTGCTGGACCATCATAGCAAGGCGGCAGCGGATACTTTCTGCGTTCACTCGGCTGCCGACGACGTCATGGTGTGCTGCTACTGGTGGGCGATGTTAAAACTCAGAACCCTCGCTATCTTCTGCCGTACCCCTTCGCGCTCCAACACTCTACGGCCCCTCCCACTATGTCGAAACAACACTGTTTGGAATGTCAACCTGTTCTCGTGTAACCACCCGTTTGGTGACGCTCCCTACCGAGGGCGTGATAGCTCTGTGTCCGGCGTGTGCTCTTTGCGTTACTGCTTGGGGATAAATGCACCGGAATATCATCTTCGTCATACTTACCCTATGCCCCCACGACTCTCCCGAACGGGCTTCCAAAAATCCTTTGTCAACAGCTGTTTGGGTTTTTCCTGTCTCCAAATTGCACCTCCTTTTGGTTGGTTCTTGCTCGGTGTGACCACGTCTTGCAGGTACATGCTAGCGCATAGATTCGCTTCCACACTAACAATATGGGTTCGACACACATCGATCCTCAGATCGATTCCTAAGAGTGCAAGGGAACGGGGGGATAAGACCCGGTTGCCGAAGCGATGCGGTCCACCCAATTGGAACTTGGTGATGACGGGAGGCTCGACGATACGGGGTTTCGATGACATTCGAAGGCGTGTGGGTTTCCCAATAAAATGAATCTTTCCGACGCTTTACGACACGATGGGATACCGACCCGTTCGAGACGGAGCAAGAAAAAAAAGCAAGGTCTTCGTGTGGTGTTCCTCTCTCTATACCTCTGAGTGTTGCGACGACCTCCAACTGTTGTGGTAGTCCAGGTATATCGCGTAGTGCGGTTCCCGACATATCGTGGTAAACGATTCTTGGCACAACAACCTGACCTGCTGCTACATTCAGCGACCTTCCCCCAACAGCGCGGCTCCCGATTTTTGGCGGTGTTTTTTTTGCTGTCACTGTACCGAGATGATTCGGGACCACTGGAACATTGTGTGCTCACTGTTGGTTTTGCCTTCGATGCTGGTGTCGGCGGAGTTAACCAGTCCATCGCCGTTAACGTCGCCCTCGATCGCGGGTGCAAACGTGGCTCCCGGGGCGAGGGTAACGCCGCTGCCAGCACCCACCGAGGTGGGAGAAGGTGTCCCTTCCACGACTTCGTCCATGCCGTCTCCTGGACGGCTGAAGATATGGGCTGGGTTTCGACGGCGGGACGGGGGGATGATGATATCTATCGGACAGCTCGAACGTATGGCTGGCCAGCGAGAACCCCAACTGGAGCAGTCGACTATGACAGTCGGCTGTATTTGTTCGTCATTTCTTGGAGGGGGTGGGAGGATCGATGAGACTTTGTGTGGCCGCCGATCTGGGAATATTCACGATGAAGGCATGTGTGGGATGTACCCTGTCACCGTGGCAACCTTTGGTAGGCACGCGCAACAACTCTACACCGAGAATGACGTGTACCTGTGTACCGGCGCCATTTCCGTCGCAACGAGGTCTGCCCGGTTTGAAAATATGTTCGCTACCTGGTAGCACTAGCCAGCATCCCTTCTGTCGCAACTCTCTGCTCTTTACGGCTTTCCGGTCCACGGTGCTCTCCTTTGGCTGTCTCAGTTTCGATCGACTTCAAACGAAGAAAAGTCCCAGGAAATAAATGCATAGGGTA